TATATATATATATATATATATATATATATATATATATATGGAATCAATTTGCTGTTCACCTGAAACTAACACAACATTGTAAATCAACTATACTTCAATAAAAAATAAATAATAAAAATTTTTAAAACGAAGAAAAGGGCTTCCCTGGTGGTGCAGTGGTTGAGAGTCCGCCTGCCAGTGCAGGGGACATGCGTTCGTGCCCTGGTCCAGGAAGATCCCACATGCCGCAGAGCGGCTGGGCCCGTGAGCCATGACCAATGAGCCTGCACGTCCAGAGCCTGTGCTCTGCAACGGGAGAGGCCACAACAGTGAGAGGCCCACGTACCGCAAAAAAAAAAAAAAAAAAAATGAAGACAAAAAAATAGAAGAAAAAAGTCCCAGTGATATCAGAAAGTGTTGTATTCTCATAAACTCCATAGGTGGTATGTTTAAGTCACAACTGAGGAGTTTTAATTCTTACAGATCATGATGGAAAGAGTATAGAAGATACTCTGATTAAACACACACGTCCACAAAAGCATACAGCACAGAGAATGGAAAAATATCTGGGTATTTTCTTAAAGTTCCGTGGAGAAGAGAAAGTTTGGAGATTTTAGAGGGTGGGGAATAAAAAAAAGTTTGGAGCGTTAAAGCAAAATAGTAAAATGAATATTATAAGTAAAATAAACAAAAGTATTAAACAGGACCCAAAGCAAGTTAACATCATACACAACCAGGATGTAAAACTCAATTTTTTGCAGAGTATTGAAGTCTGGTCAACACTAGAGCCGTCTGTGGCTCAGTCTGTGTTCATTATCAATTTTACTGTTGGCTGATATTCCCAGACGCCCTGAACTTCCAGAGCATCTCAAACTCACAGCACCCTGGGTACCACCCCCATAGCTGACACTCCAGACCTGTCCCCTTCTTGAAAACCACAGAGAAGCAGCCTCCTGCAGCTACAACGGCCCAGCAGGGAGCTGCCCTCTCTGGACTGCCTGGGTGACAGGGACCCCAACTGAGGTGTGCGCTGTTCTCAATGCCTGAAAGATGGTTTCTGTTATGAGTGTACTGTATCATTTTTTAAGGGTACACTGGTTGGGAGAATTTGCTGTGTTTTGATAACTATGTTTGGGCCAATCACCATTCGACACAGATAAAACTCAAGACCATGAGCACCATCACCTTCACCCACCTAACACAAAAGATTTCTTAAACATTTCAGAAGGGGAATGCATGGAGCTCAGTAAAAGTATCTGTATTTACTCTACCATCCTTGTAGAACCCAATGATGAGTATTATTGGGCTGTACTGAAAGAGACTTAGACCAAACACTGTGACAAAACAGAGTGCTACAGTACTAAAAATGATGGTTTGTTTAAGATAAAAAATGACATGTGGACACAGATAAGGAAAAGGTACAAATATGTCTTTGGGAAGCACGGCAACAATGACAACTGGTTCTTTCCTCCACATCCCACTACATTTACTGTCATTGAAAATAAAGTATCTTCTGTTTACTAGGGATGCATCACAACCTTTCTATCTGGGCCACACTATAACATCTGGTGACCTTGAATATGTGACTATGGGAAAAGACATTAAGTATAGTGCTATGAAAAGACTTAACAGACTTCTGAATAAGTCTGAAAAGTGTGCAGATCAAAGTGTGATTTGGAAGTTATCTGAAGATATGCAACTGGCAGTCTGCCTGAAATATGCAGGAGTTCTTGCAGAAAATGCAGAGGATACTGAAGGAAGAACTCTATTTATAAATACAAAACTACTGCATGTCTTATTCAAGAGACAATGTCTAGTAACCCTCAGCAAGTAGCAGAAGCCTGCTGTTCAGATATGGCTATTACTTTTAATGGACTGACTCCCGAAAAGATGATAGTAATGATGGATGGTGTGTGCCAGCTCAGGGCATTTGGACATTATTTCAATGACACACTGATTTTCTTGCCTTCAAATGGTTCAGAAAATGACAGAGAGTTGGGAAATAATAGGACTGTGTTGTCCAGGAGTGCTTGAAATGTGGCTAGTCCAAATTGACATGTAGCATAAGTATAAAATACACACTCCATTCAATAATATTATTTGAAAACCTAGTACAAAAAGTATAAAAATCTCAGTAATTGTTCATACTGACTCAACAATGAAATGATAATATTTTGGATATGTTGCATTAAATAAAATATAATATTAAAATTAATGTCAACTGTTTCTTTTACAGTTTATTAATGTTATTAGAAATTTTTAGCATTCTTTTATTTATTTATTTATTTTGGCTGTGCCACGCAGCTTGTGGGATCTTAGTTCCTTGACCAGGGATTGAACCCGGGCCCGGCAGTGAAAGTGCCAAGTCCTAAACATTGGACTGCCAGGGAATTCCCTATGGAAGATTTTTTTTTAATCTTTCTTTTATTTAATGGAAGATTTCTTTTTAGCTTTATTTTATTTATTTAGGAAATTTGTTAATTACATGTGTCTTACTTCATATTTCTATTGGATAATAAAAATGTAAAACATTCCATTATCACCATATATGTCAATTTAACTTCCTGTCCACATGGCAGCATTTTTTAAAAGGAAGTTTACTGTAGGGATCCAGATTCTGGAAGAGGTTTCAAATATTTGGATACGTAAATAGATACCTCCCAAGTGCATTCTCTGGACATCATGTCACCTTTAATTTTTGTGAAGATATTTCAAATGTTTAATAAGCAAGTATTGCTGTCTAAAAGCATTTTATTGAGTCATTGTTACAGACTGCAGCATTATGTCAAGCAGTTGGACAAGCATGGTGTCTCCTGTCTAGGATATTCCTTATCCAAAAAACTAACTGGCATGCACATGCCAACACCACATTCTTTCACTACTGACAATATGCTAACAGTCATCACCTCTGCAATGCAACTACATTGTGTTTTCAGGGGAACTTTTGCACTTGTGCAGCCTTACCCTCAATTTTGAATATTTTTGAGATTGCCAGGAAAAACAGGAAAATTCACAGATTGCTGCTCTGTAAAATTTTGCTACTAAAAAAAAAAGACTGACATACCTATTAGAATGGCCAAAATCCAGAACACTGACAACACCAAATGCTAGCAAGAATGTGGAGCAACAGGAACTCTCATTCAT